ATGATTAGAGATGTTGAGCATTTTTTTTAGTTTGTGGCCATTCTTCTGTCTTCTTTAGAAAAGTTTCTGTTCAAGTCCTTTCCCCACTTTTTAATAGGTTATTTGATTTTTCTTGCTGGTTTTCTTGAGTTCTAAGTATATTCTAGTTATCACCTTTATCAGATGCATAGGATGCAAAATTTTCTCCCCATTCTGTAGTTTGTTTACTTTCATGACTGTTTCTTTGGCTGTGCAGAATGCTTTGTTTATCATGTCCCATTTATTTTTGTTGCTGCTGTGATTGCCTGGGGACTTCTTCATAAACTCTTTGCCTAGGCTATGTCTAGGAGAGTGTTTCAACATTTCCTCTAGAATTCTAATAGTTTCATACCTTAGGTTTAAGTCTGTTATCACATGGAGTTTGTTTGTGAGAGGTGAAAAGTGGGGTCCTGCTTTAGTCTTCTACAAGTGGCTATCCAGTTTTCCCAGAACCATTCATTGAAAAGGGCTTCTTTTCCCCAGCATATGTTTTTGTCTGCTTTATCGAAGATTAGATGGCTATATGAGGATGGTTTTATATCAGGATTCTCTGATCTGTTCCACTGGTCAATATTCCTATTTTTGTGCCAATACCAAATTGATTTAATTACTACAGCTTTGTAGTATAGTTTGATATCTGGCATATTAATACCTCCCATTTTGTTTTTGTTGCCTAGAATTGCTTTTGATATTCAGGGTCTTCTTTGGTTCCATACAAAGCGTAAAATTATTTTTTCTATATCTGTGAAGAATGCTGATGGGATACCCAAAGATTTTTAATATCCAATAGTCCCCTATGAAAATCAAGTTCCTGAAAAGGTCATATAGATAAGAGTTTGGGATATTGACCGTAGGCTGAGGAACAAGAGCTTGAGGGGGCAAAAATGGGGATTTTGCAAGTGTGGGGAGGGGAGGAGCCCTGAGTTTCACACACTTACGACTGGCTCATATCCCCAGGGCAGTGGGGCTCCCTGCATTATTGCTGAAGGTTTCTGAGAGAGCCACTGCCAAGTTTCCTTTGGACAGTATCTGGGTTGCCTCCAAACTAACTTATCCCCAGCCCAAAGGACTCAGGAAAAAGAGTGTAGGACATGGAGTCAGGAGACTTGAATTCTGGTCTCAGCTTGCTGAGTAATCTTAGGCAAGTCATTTCACTTCTCTGGACCCTAACTTGGCCCTTAGATTCAGTGATGGTCCTCACTTCAGGACTTATCATAGCCTCCACGTTTTGAAATAGTAAAATAGATATCTAACAGGTGATGCCGAGCTTGGCCAAGGGACTGTCACTTCTGAACCAGACATTGGTGAGGATCCAGGCACAATAGATCCTACAGATGAGCTCTGTCCCCAGATCCCTAGGCAGGTTCTGGCTCATGGTCAGAGGTTTCTTCTGTTCTGTTCCACTAGGGAATGGGGAAGGCAGAAAAACACTTGACCATAGCCTTTGATTCTTCAAATCAAAACATTAGTAGTGAAAATCTTGCTATTTTCTGATCCAGTACCCCAACTTTACTTGGGAGGATCCTGAGACTAGAGAGGGGAAGTGACGTGACTGGGTTGTATGGTGAGGGTCTCTTCTTGCAGGCTTTCTGCCACACCACCTGGTTTGAATCTTCAACTGGCACAAATTAGAGAGATCTGGACAATAACCTTGGGGCTGGGGTGAACAGAGATGAGACTCCAGTTTCACTCAAAGCCAATTCCAAATAAGCCATCCTCTTCCAGACCAGAACCACCCCTCCTTAGAAGGCCAGAGAAGTTCCAAGGAACATCTAGAGAATTGAATGTACTTCATGTAGAGTTGAGGAGTTGAATGAATCTCAGGCTTACTTCCTTATTAAATATATATCCTTAAATCCTTAGTTTCTCCATTTGGGCAATGACCTTGAGCTTGATCAGACCTGTTTTCCCATCCTGGACTGGAATCACTCCTTACTCCTTCCTTAGCATTTCCTGAGTACCTACTAAGTGCCAGGCTCTCTGCTAAGTGTGGTGAATCAGAGATGCCTAAAACACATACCTGTCCTTGAAGAATTCAGCCAATAGAATGATTAATAACCATGATTAATAACCATGATGCAATGAGAATAATTCCCCCACCCTCAAACTAGACCTGCTCTTCTAGGGCAGGGTCTCACCAGACTAGATCCCAGGGATGGAAGCAAGAGGAAAGCAAGTTCTTCTAGGGGCTACTACCCCACGCACCAGCAACATTCTCCCCAGGGAGACACACATCTGACGTCTTTACCCCCAGCAACATGCATCTAGTGCATATTCACTCACACTTTGTGTGGGAAATGGGTGTTGATGAACAGCATTGCAAATATTTATCATCAAGCACCCATCATGTATCAATGAGGGGATACTAAAGAAAAGGGAAATTCAACAGCCAGTTCCTGATATCCCAAAGCTAAAAATCTGTTTATAAGCCATAGGAACCAGAGACATGAGAAAAGAGCATTGGCTTGAGAGTTTGCACCCCTGGTTGTAGTCCCTCTTGTGTGATAGGCAGGACATCACCCCTCTGTGCCTCAGTTTGTTCATCTGTAAGTGGGGGCTGGGGCCAGACCATGCCCTGGAACAGCAGGATTGGTGCTGGCTGATGCCAACGTGTATGGTTTGGTTTTCCCTTAAAGTTTGGGCTTTCTTTTCTTTGGGGAGATTTAAGGTCTGAGCTGGATTTATGGAAAGGAGGAGAAATGAAGCCCAAACCAGGTGGCAGTAGGAGAAGCCAGAGGGTAGTGATGTGTGAACAGGAGGAAGTGGGATGGCAGACAGATGAAGAGGAAAGCTGTCAAAAGGGCCACTTTCCATGGGTGTTAGAAACAAGACCTGTCCTGGTGCCAATGAACACCCTGAGACATGGGAAGGAAGAGTGCCCAGCTCCAGGGCCATTGAAACCACCAAAATGATGGTTAGTCAACACTGCCCAAATTGGGTCACTTCAGAGCTGGCAGTGAAGGTTTGATCCCAGGGACGCTGGGGTTATGAAAAGGGATAAGCCAGAAGGAACAGAAACAGCCCCAGCTAATAATAAAGCCAGATCCAGATGCGGCCACTAAAGTTTGGATGTTTGTCCTCCCAAACCTCATGTTGAAATTTGATCCCGATTTTGGAGGTGGGTCTAATAGGAGGTATTTGGGAGTGCCTGAATTCTCTCTCTATTAGTTCCTTCCAGAGACGGTTGTTGAAAGGAGCTTGACACCTCCTGGCTCTCTCTTGCTCCTGTCTCACCATGCGACCTGTACACGTTGGCTCCACTTCACCTTCTGCTATGAGTGGAGGCTTTCTGAGGCCCTCACCAGAACCCAATGCTGGAGCCATGCTTCTTGTACAGCCTACAGAACTGTGAGCCAAATAAACCTCTTTTCTTTATAAATAACCCAGCTTCAGGGCCAGGTATGGTGGCTCATACCTATAATCCTAGCACTTTGGGAACCCAAGGCAGGAGGATATCTTGAGCCCAAGAGTTGGAGACCAGCCTGGGCAACATAGCGAGACCTTGTCTCTACAGAAAATAGAAAAATTAGCCAGGCGTGGTGGTACGCCTGTAGTCCCAGTTGCTCAGATGGCTTGAGCCCAGGAGGTGGAGGTTGCAGTGAGCTATGATGCCACCACTGCACTCTATCTAGCCCAGGCAACAGAGCAAGACCATGTCTCAATCAATCAATCAGCTTCAGCTATTCCTTTATAGCAACACTAAACAGTGGCCATATGCAAGAAGCCTGGAGCAGAGAGTACAGAGTTTCCCATGTGTCAGCCATGGCTCCTAGCCACAGCAGTCCACACACATTTCTAGCTCTGTCACGCGTCACTTACCAGCAGATGCTAGGGCTACTGATGCATACCACGTAGAGGAAAGGGTTCTGCTTATTAAATTACTAAATCCTGTTAGAAAAGAGGGCAACTTGCTCCTAATAGAATTTTTATGTTTCTCGTGATTCTCAGCGACTCCAAGGAGACTTTTTAATCTCCAGTGTGGTGCCAGGGGTAGATTCTACCAGCCAGTTCTCTCTGTTCACAAACAGAACCCTCAAAAACAGCTCTGTCCCCTGGGAAGGGAATTGTGCTTTCTTAGTATCACAGAGCCTTTCTAATTTGTTTAAAATCTACTGTTCTGCTGACTGTGGAGCAGTGAAAGGGGTGTTTTCTTTAGGGAGGAGCATGTGTGTGTGGAGGGGTGTTCTCTTACGCTGTAACAGTTGAGAGGGCATGAAATACTATTGTTTCTTTTATACCGCTACTCCTCCTGCCTTCGCCCTCAACATACACAACACACTGTGGAAACGAACATGGGATGTGTGTGCCGAGAGGGTGATGAATGCCTCCTCCACGGACATACACCTCCACCTCTGCTGCGACATCTCTCTTGCTGCCGGAAGTCACTGTTTTTCATGCAGTCAATGCTGCATTGTTGGACACGGAGGATTACTTAGGCTGGGAAAGAATGTGAAAGTGTCTCACTGCATTTAAAGTACCATCAGGTTACGTCAAGGAGAAACACGAGCCTCACCTTGCAAGAAGGAAAAGCTAAATGTGATGAGCAAACCAGACTTCAGGTGCTTTTTGGAACGTGCGTTTCATCTAACTACTTCACTTTGCTTTGGCCACGCACGCCACTCTTTTCCCTCCAAGTGCCAGGAGCAAATTAGATTTTTGAGGATTTTTTTGTGGGTGTTTTTGTTTTTCATTCAAAACATCTCTTCTTACTCTAGTGATATCATCCCTGGAAGACTGAGACATAAGAAAGGGTGAATCATGTATCACCTTCGAATCTCTTCTAGAATTACATCAGTCAGAGCCCTGGGGTGCAGTAGGGACGAAAGCCAAAAAGCAGAGGAGGAGAGTCGGGGAGGGCATGGAGTGGAGTGGTGAGGGACCTGGTTCTTTTACAGCCTGATTATTTTCTCCTTCCAACCCCTCCGCCCCCACCCCCCCACCTATTTATAAATCAAATAAGAGAAATAATCAGACTTTAAAGAGACAGTTACCTTATATTTATTGATGGTGTTGGTTTAAATGTCATTTGCCTGAAGTTTCTGACCAATCACCATACGCCCATTCGTCACAGATAAAAGCCAACCTTGGCATTCTCATCAGACACATAAACTGGATAAGAATGAAGACTCACAGATCCTGCCCCACCCCCAAGTATTAGCCATATTATCGTCACTGTTTTTATCTTTTCATCAGTTTCGAACAGAAGAGGAACTTGGCAATGTGTAGAAATAATTTGAAATGTGAAATCTCGTCACACAGGCTAGATATGGCCCACACAGCTATCTGCTGATCAGGCAAGAACACTGGTGTGGTGGCACACCAATGTGGGTGGGTGGTTGGCCAGGATTTGACTTTGCTGACCTCTCTACCTGGGGGCTTCTTAATGTCATTCAATGGTGTGTCTGAGGTCTTCAGAGAGAGGAATAGGAACTTTCAACCAACAAAAATATAATAGATTCAAAGACCTGGACCTTGTCCTAATGCCCTTAAGAAGAGACAGAATATTTTTTAAAATATTTCCCACTCATCCCCTTTGCTTTTCTTTAAAAATCATCTTATGCCTGACCCACTCCCATTAATTAGGAAGAAAATCTTGAACTCTCCTGAATTCCAGACTCCTTAGGATCTCTGGTTCTAGCTGCACAGAGCATATTTATGATGAAAACAAAGCAAAGTGAGATCCATTTCTGCAACACAGGAAAAGAGGCCCAAAAGGGCAAAGGGAAAATAGAATTTGCAGAAGGCACAGTTTTGGCAGCATCTTATTACAACTTCCAACTGATCGGGTGTAGCCAAACTAGAGACATCTGTTTGGAGTTTACAACAGAAACAAACACGCGGAAAGCATGAAAACACTAAAGCATGCACACCCGGACCAAGCGCTAACAGCTCCTCTCTGCCTTGACCTCCACACCACTCCCCACTGGGTCATGCTGGGCTGGAGAAGGGAAGGAAATGGGATCTGCAACCTGCCCATCCACCACCCCACCTGCACCATGACTCATTCACACCACGATCAGAACTTGTCAACTTTTCTCTCTCTTTGGTTTTCCTCCCAGGAAAAACAGAGATGATTCTGCTCCTCAGGGAGCCCCAGGGGACTTTCTTTGGGTTTCTAGTTCATCTTTAAAGCTCCTTGGCTGTTTATAAAGAAGATTATGTGGTATCTTTACACTTGATCATTAGTGTGACCCACAGAAGGAAGTGGTAAAACCTCAGCAGACCCAGAAAGTCGCTCCTCCATAAATAATCTCACAGGTCTGAGAGTGGGAAGTGGAATTCACCCTAGCCTCTCCAAAAATTAACTCAGAAAGACCAGAAAAGGTCACACTTGCACAACTTAATGAGAAAATGGGATATATTGTGAAGGCTGGCCCCAGACACAGCACCCAGAGTTGTGGAGGTTCAGGAAGGCCCCAGACTATGCATAAATTGGATCCCCCTTCCCTAATTCTCTCCAAGCCAAAGACAGTCCTACCAGCCATCCCAGGATCTGACATGTCCTCTCCCACCCCAACCCCCCACGCAGCAGTTCCAGAGGCTCACCTGTTCTGGTAAATTTTCCTCTTTATTCTGCCCCCACTGACGTGCAAACAGAACCAGAACAGTGCTACTTTTAAAAAATAACAAAAATGTTTTATACACATTTCTGTATATACAACTGAACAACATTTTACATGTTTCTTTTGCACAGCAAAAGACATAAACATTCAGCTCTGAGAACACAGTTATGTACAAAATAAAGATGTCAAAAATACTTCACAACAGTGCAAAAATATTTTACACAGTATCATGGAGTGAGATCTTTTGAGCAAGAGGAAGGGGTGTGTGTGTGTTTCTAAAGAAAAACTCCTTTTTCAGATATCAGATGTCTTTAACTGTAAACAAAATGCAACTTTCTTTCATCTCCCCCCACCCCAACAGTTATTTGAGGAATTTGGCAGAATTTCAAGGGTCTGAGTCTTGAGGTAAAAGCCCAAGCTCTTGCACCAAAAAGAACTGGGGGGGGGGGGGTAAAGGGGTGGCATGGAAGCCTCAAACATTGGTGAGAGCAAATCCTTTTCTTTTCAAGACAAGTCAATGACAGTGCAAGGCGCTCCCAGGGGGCTGAGGGAGGAAGTTAACCCCTCCTCCTGAGGCCCCAGCTTCCCCACAAACAGGAAACTGGCCGGCAGGAGAGACTCTGCGAACTTGAGCCCAGCCAGCCTTCCTTCGCCTCCTCCCACAGGACGGCCTCGCTCCTTCCTTGCCGGGGTTTTCCCCGCTCTCACGTCTCCCCACATCCCCAAGCGCAACTCGAGCCCGCCTCGAACAGAACTTAAAAAGTGTTGGGGCAAGGGAAGGGGCGGGGGCTGCCAGGGCGAATTCTGGGCCTCGCACGCCCCATTTCCCCTTTCCTGGGCGAGGGCGGGGGATAGGGAGGTTGTCGGGACCACGGATAGGGACCCACAGCGGGGTGACGGGTGCGCACAGAGTCGTCTTGGGAAGTTCAGCCCGAGTGGGGCTCGTCTGCGCTGGCGCCGTCGGCTGGGCCGGGCGGGTCCGCGGCGGTGGCGGAGGTGGCGTCCGGGCCCCCGCCCTCGATGGAGCTCTCGCTGCCGGTGCTCTCGCCCGACAGCAGGCGCGTCACCCGCAAGTCGGCCTGCAGAGTGCGCACGTCGTTGCCGAAGCTGAAGTCGCCCAGGTCGCTAATGAGCTGCGACAGCTCGGCCTTCATGTCGGAGGCGCTGCCCAGCAGCAGAGGCGGCGGCCCGGCTCCCGGGCCCTGCGAGCCCCCGCCGCCCCCTGGCGCCTCCTCGCGGCCATTCTCCAGCGTGTCCAGCAAGTCCCCGCACTCTAAGTGCATGGCCACCACCAACGCCCGCTGCGCCTCGGCCTCCTGCTCTGCTGGGTCTCCCTCCCCAGCACGGTCCTCTTCTTCCTCCAGGCAGCCCGCGGGGTGCTCCTCCTCCTCTTCCTCCTGCAGCTCCTGCTCCTGCTGTTCGCCGAGCAGGTCCTCAGTGATGGAGCCGAGCTTGGGCGCGCTGCGGCTGCGCTCCACCGGCGGTTTGTAGCAGCAGGGTCCGTGCAAGAGCAGCTTGCGCAGCGGCACTAGCGGGATGGTGTGAGCGCCCACCAGCTCCTGCTGCTGGTGACGCGCGTCGTCCCGCCGCTTGAGGCGTTTAAATTCCGCCAGCGCGTTGGCAGATGTCTGGTAGAGTAGCAGGGCCATAGCTTGCGCCTTCTCAGGCTTGGACACCAGCACAGCGTGGCAGCGCAGCATTACCGCCTTGTGCTTTAGCTCGTGTCGGTACACCCATGCGAAGACTTTAGGCAGCCGTGCGTCTGCCACGCAGTAGGTGACGCGGTGCAGCAAATAGAGGTGGCCCGGGCGGCGCAGCGCGCGCTCCTCAGCGTGCACCATGCGGATACCCTGCGCACTCACCGTCAGCTTCATCTTGGTGCCCTGACGGCCCGCCTCGCTCTTGCTCCAGATCTTGCCCACGGCTAGGTCGGTGCAGCCGTCTCCGCGCGCCTGGATGGTGGTGGCATTGCCCAAGTAGAGCACTGTGTAAGTGGGGTCCTCACTGGTGATGTGCAGCTTCTTGCGCTTGGAACGGAACATGCTGCCCACCCGGCTGAGCGCGCCTTCGGGGCACGCCCGCGCCAGCGAGCTGAGCGCGGAGTAGTGCAGGCTCACAGCGTAGCCCTTGGGCTTGGACGCCTGCCGCGGCGGCGCCTCGGCCAGCAGCTCGAACTTGTGCTTCTTCCACGGCAGCATCTCCGAAGGGCGCCCCGGCACAGCTGGGCGACGGCGGCGGAGCGCCGGGTGCGAGCCCCGCTGAGCCCCCCGCCCCGGCCCGGGTTCGGCCCGGGCAAGACCGAAAAATAAAACTCTGTTGGGAGCGGCCCAGTGGTAGGGAGTCGGGGGCAGGGGAGGAGAGATAGTGTTTAGAAACCCCGCAGGGGTTGAGGGTAGAATTGTTAAAAGAGAAGAAAATGGGGGAGGGGAGGAAAGAGCGCGCGCGCACACAGAACTACCCCAGCCTGGGCAAGGACGAGGGCAGTCTCAGGCAAGCAACAAAATGAGAGGGAACGGGAGTGGAGCAAAACGTCTTAGAAGAGAGCTAGATGCGCGCGTGCAAATAAATAGAGGGAGCCCCAGCAAAAGCACCCAGAATGGTGCGAGAATATGCAGAAACTCCCCAGCGAAGGTGAAAAGGGCCCCCAGACACACACACAACTCCCGGGCCTGGGGCCAGAAATCGCGGAAACTCTACAGCGACTGTCCCCTGGGGCCAGTGCTCCCCACCCCTAAAGGTGCTGGAGATGGAGAGCCCCTCGGCTGGGCTGGTCCCAGAATCAGCAGCTCGCCCGAAGTGCGGTCAGATGGCGGGTGCTGCGGCCGCGGCGGCCCAGCGCAGCAGTCCCGCGGTGGCTCACTGCATCTCCGCTCCGGCCGGACGCCGGGACTCGCGCTCGGCCGCCTCACTGCCCGGGCTGGCCTGGCCAGGGGAGCGCTGGTCTCGGCGGGCGGGACGCGCTCATGGCCGGCTCCGGGGACCGCCGCTACCTCATTTCTTCCCTTCGGGGTGTCCAACTCCACTCGCGGGCTCTCCTGGGTCGGCTGCCCGCCTTTGCAGCGCGCCCTCTCCGGTGCAGCGAGCGGTGGCCGGCTCGCTCGCCTCACATCCTTGCCGTCCGAGGGGAAGATCTCCGGTAAATATAGGCCGGCGCGAACCATTCGCCGCGCGGGGACAGGGGAGGAGCAGAGAGATCCGTTTTGAGCTCCAACGCCGGGCAAATTTCTGGTCTCTTAAGGCGACCCGGTAGCAGCCATTGGTGGAGGGAGGGCGGAGACCGATCCAATCTGGCAATTACATCCCAAATTTACCAGCGTTTCTTTGATCTACAGGAACCACCAAGACCTGGGATTACCCCGCAGTAAAAGGAACTTGAACTGTGACACTCCGCCCCCAGGATGAATTGCGACTCACTGAATAAATGTACGTCTAGATCGAAACTTCTGGGGGAGGTGGTGGAAGATGAGATTATAGACTATAATGTCCTATGCAAAAAGGTTGAGGTTCTGTTTAATATTATCATTTTCAAATTGTATTGGATTAAAGAAAACAAAGAGGCACAGAAAACACCAAGACTTATCTTTCACTATCTTGGAGCCCCTTATTCACAGGTAAGCAGCAGACGGTGAAAAGTGAGGTGAGTGGTAATGTGATTGGAGTGAACAATATAGTATATAGTCAATAAGTAAGGTGCTTCTCGCTCCCAACCGCTCCCAACCGCCCCAGTCCCCCCATATACCCATTCCTGCTGTCAAGCTTCAGAGTAGAGCAGTTTTCTGAGATATATACAATTTCTAAGTAATGCTTGTGTGTGGTTAGAATGTAGTTTGCTTTGGCAGGCCAGTCATTTGATTTTATTATCTCATTGACCCATTTTGGATGAGGATTCCTAGTAAAAATGCTAATGATATTTTTTATATGAGTGTCAAATAATGCCTGGACACCCTCCGATGGGAGTGATAATTGCATCAGTCATGCTTTTCTCATGGGCCAAATGGACAATGTAGTTTTAGTCATCTGACCAGTTTGACCCTTGACTAATAACTCATTTCTGGGCCCTTAAAACAACCTGCTTGCCTCTATGGTCTGCTCAGTCAAAGCAAAAAGATTTCCGGCTGGAATGTGTGATAAATGTCTGGATGATCCTGCATCAGATTCCCAGGCTCATCCTGGAGAAGGACAGTGGTCCCTCCCCACAGGCCCCGTCCACTAGGGATCTTGGATGTCTCCGGCCTCCATGCCAGATCCTCATGTCAGAACCACTGCAGTCACTCCTGGAAATTGCTTAATGCTCTACCTTTGCTAACTTTTAACCTTCCTTTGAACTCTAACCCAATTTTCTCAGAGTCATAGGTGCTGAGTTTCAATTTAACTAACTTCTCTGAGTACCTTTTGGTGCCAGGCCCTGAGCTAGGAGCAGATCCAATTACTGTGTCCAAGAAGCTCCTGGTCCAATGAAGAATGTAAATTCCACCCAACTCTGGGCTTCCACTGGAATGTAGGCTCTGTGAAAGTACCCTGTATCCCCAGTGTGTGGTACAAATAGGCACTCAATAAATGTCTGTTGAATTAATGAATGAGACATGCATGGGAACAAGAAGACAGAGTGGAGTAAATGCTAATAAGAAAGACCCAAAGTACTATGAGAAGCTGGAAGAAAAGGTTCATCGTGACTACGAAAATCAGAAAAGGCTTCATGGAGGTGGTGACATTTCAAGAGTGAACAGGATTTTCTCCAAACAGGAAAAGATTGAAAGGCTTTCCAAGTATAGAGGACAGCAAAACTAGAGAAGCATGTAAATGCATGCACATGCAAAGATTCAGATGGAGTTTAATGATTGTGACAATGAAAGAAGAAAGTTTCTTGATGGTACTTTTTGACCCTCCTAGTGTCTAAGGGAAGGAGTGGCCTTTTCACAGCTGACTGTTTTCATAGTGTCCTTCAGTCATATCCATAATGCCTTACTCCTCAGTTGTACTGATCGGTTAATGTAGGAATACCAGACATGGTATTGGAATGAGGTAGTTAAGACTATCTATGATAAGCCATTTAGGCCAACATTAATTCCTCAAACTTCTGGAATGTCTTGCAGAGGCAATGCAGTAGACAGTACATGCTCCAAAAAGCAAAAAGCTTTGGTAAGAGCATACCATTAAATTAACCTGTGCTAAGTGACCTTCAGCTGGTCCATAATCTCAAATCTAAACTCTGCATAAGCAGACATCATGTTCAAGCAGTTTACATTTTCAAAATGGCGTGGAGGTCCAAGAGGGAGCTAAGGCTGGGAGACACCACCTTGTGCTTCACGTGGTGGCAGGAAACCAGTGGACCACAGTGGCAGGGAGGAGTTCACTGGCAGGCCCAGCTTTTCAGCAGTGGCCAGGGTGCCAGGCCCAGGTACACAGACCCACAGAGCAGCGCGTGTTGACTAGTCTATGTCACGCCTTGACTGCCTTCTTAATAAGCTTGTTTTCAACCTCGGGAGAACACAAAGATTCTAGGCCACTGAGAACACCCCAGTGTGTGAGTCATGTTCCGTGCTTGTGCTCAAAGATCCAGGAAGAGAACCCATTGCCATCTTGGGGCCTGGGCTTGGTTAGCTTCTGGGGCCTGTTTTACCTTATGGAGAAGCTGACCACCCCCGCCAAAAGCATACTTGCAAACTGAGGCTGCTTTTCTTCAGCTGGGACAGCTGGCCGCACCATTTAGGAGTCCACACCACAGATTTGAGACAGGGCAGTTCTAGAACAGAGCATAAGCAAAGTAGAATTGGGAACAGGTTAGAAACTGCAGACTACTTTTTTTTAAATGACACTGCCCCATCTACTGGTAGCAGGCAGAAATGCCATGTGATGGGATGGCTCCTAAAACCGGATAAGCCAGTGGTTGAACCAACACACAGCCAAGTCACCCCTGGAAGGAAATGCTGTGACCAGGAGTCCCAGCTCCAGACTTGACATCTGAGGGTCAGCCTTTCAGCTTACAGAAGGCTTTTGAACAGGTTCCTTCTGGACCACGTTACGTCTGGCGTGGTGCCCCTCCCCTGATATCCCACTCACTGGACACTGGCTTCCCAGATGACAACTGACAAATCTGGAATCTTCAAATTGTTCAGCAAATATTTGTTGAGAGTCTCCCATGGATGTAAAGAAGACAGAGAGGTCTTGGCTTTCATGGGATTTGTAGCCTATGGGTAGAGAGGGCAGATACTATAATAAACAGACAAATAACTAATAAAATACCAGATAGTGATGAGTCTCTGAAGAAAAGGAAGCAGTGTTAGGAGTGGACGGCGGCTGTTTAGGCAGTATGGTCAGGAAAGGTGGCTCTGGCCAGAGACTCATATGAGACAGAGCCAGCTGTGCAAAGAGATGGGGGACAGCACGCTTCAGCCTGAGCTGGGCAGTATGACAGCCACTGGCCACGTGCAGCTGCTGAGCACTTGGAACACAGCTTGCCCAAATTGAGACATGGCACAAGTCTGAAAGACACACTGGATTTTGGTTGTGGTTTTGTTTTTGTTTTCTTTATCTAATTTTTGGTTTTAACTACTTTCATCTCTGTAAGACACACTGGATTTTGAAGACTTAATAAAACAAAAAAAAAATGTAAAAGATCTAGGCCGGGCCTGGTGGCTCACGCCTGTAATCCTAGCACTCTGGGAGGCCGAGGTGGGCAGATTGCTCGAGGTCAGGAGTTCAAAACCAGCCTGAGCAAGAGCGAGACCCTGTCTCTACTATAAATAGAAAGAAATTAATTGGCCAACTAATATATATAGAAAAAATAAGCCGGGCATAGTGATGCATGCCTGTAGTCCCAGCTACTCGGGAGGCTGAGGCAGGAGGATTGCTTGAGCCCAGGAGTTTGAGGTTGCTGTGAGCTAGGCTGACACCACGGCACTCACTCTAGCCTGGGCAACAAAGCGAGACTCTGTCTCAAAAAAAAAAAAAAAGAATGTAAAAGATCTAAATAATTTTATATTAATTAGATATTAAATAATATTTGGGCTATGTTGGGTTAAATAAAATATATTATTAAAATTAATTTAACCTGCAGAATTGTAAAGCTGTGTTGATTTAAGCTACTAAGTTTGTGCTGATTTGTTACAGTAGCAGTTCACCTCCGATCCAGTCATCTTTCCCCTTATCCTGGCTCTGTTCCCTCTCCCACCTCTCCTCAATGAGTAACCTACATCTTTACCAGTTTCTCAAAGCCACCTGCTCTCTCCAGAGCCAAGCAGAGCTGATGTGGTGTTTCCTCAACAAAAGGGAGGCAGTTAGAGCAACCTACAGCCCCAACTAATCTACAAACAGCACATCCACACCCATGCCCAGCCCCCTCCCCCAGACTCAGAAGTCTCTCCTCCTTTGAACCTGTCCCCCTCAAAGCCAGCTTCCACACTATTACCAAACTACAAATCTGACCTCGAACTTCTTCCCATTTTAACCTTTCAATTGCTTCCCACCGGCCACAGGAAGCACTGAGTATAACACACAAGAATTTGCAGGCCTGGCACGTGCTCATTCTTCTCTCCTGGCCCCCTATTTTATGCTCCAGCAATTGAAGATAGCCTGTACTTCTTCCCATGATCGTGAGACTGTTTCTTCCCTGCCTGCCATTGCTTGTGTGGTTCCATCTATTAATAACTGGAATGACCTCCTCCTGCCACTTCCTCTGGCTGATTCCTACTCATTTTTAAAGAACCAACTCAGGTATACCATTTTCTCCAGGAAAACATCCAGCACCTAGCTACCTTCTCCATGCTCCCTTGTGTGTATCTTTACCTCCGCACTTGGCTTATTATAATATTTTCTTTAACTCTCTACCTCCCCCACTAGACTGGGAGCTCCTTCAGAGTGGGGACTATATTTTATTCACTCTTTGTGTCTCCAGCTCCTAGCTTAATGCCTACCACCAAGTCAATGTATGGTAAATGTTTGTGGAATGAACACTAACCATGTGTTTATTTTCACAGTAATGGGACTGTCACAAGCACAGGCTATCAGAACTGGAAGGGCCCTTCTAGATAATCTAGTCAAACTCCCCTGGTCTTGCAGATGAGGAAACTGAGGGCCTGACAGGGCATGTGCATGGCCATACAGTGATTTAGTGGCCACACCAAGATTAGGACTCA